GCTTTAGATCATATCAGCAGCTGAATGGGATTTGAGCCAGCCAATGTCTCTCTTTCAGCTTCCGGTTGGATCGTGTCAGAAGTGATGCCGCCGCCGCCACGAAATGAACAGAAGGCTCCCCTGGTGGGGAAGGCAGAGGCTCAGCCGGGCCACCAGACCCCGCCAGCCTTCCATCCAGCTGCAGCTGTGACACCGCCAGCCCCAAACGAAGTCCCCGATGCCAAGACTCCCACCACCCCTGTCTCGGAAGCAAGTTGTGCCCTCCAGACTCGCCAGCCCAGCCCCCTGCCTGCCGTCCCACTTCCGGAAGCAGAGAGCTTGCCCCCTAAGAGTGATCGCCCCCCACCCATTGGAGCCCCGAGTCCGCCTCAAAGAGAGGAGAAGCGTGGCAGTGCCCAGCTGCCCCCCAAGAGCGAACAGCCTCCCCCTGCCCAGGGTTCACCCACTCCCAGGGCAAAACAAGGTAGGTTTTGTTGTAAGTGGGACCAACCTACAGAGGGGATCTGGGGGGGGGAGGGGGCTTGGACGCTGTTGCCCACAAATCATAAGGGTGGTTTTTTCCCCCCATTTTGCACCAAAAAGTCTATAGGTCCACTCAGCCATAAATATACTGTTTTGTCTAGAAGCAAAGAAATTAATTTAGCCATCTCTGCAAGTTCATCATCTTCACAACCTGTTTGACTCCCCCTTCGTTGTTCTGATGCCTTTGGATTCTCCTTCTTCCAGATTCTCAGAAGGCCCAAGCGAGACACAGGATGGCCAGGGAGCGTCGTGAAGAACGAGCCAAACATCTGGGTAAGAAGGAGGCCAGCTAACCTTTGCACTTGCAGGCTTACCCAGCCCTGCACACGAAGAATGGGGATGATGGGAGATGCCATCCAATGCACTTAGATGGAGTCATCTCATGGAGCCATGTCAGGTCACCAAATCCAGATTTATGGTCCAGTTATTTCACCTTCTTTTTCAACCTGGTGTTCTCTAAGCCATCTGATTAGGCTCCTATCTTGCTTAGCTGTCCAATGA